AACTTTATTAATTTTATGTGTTTTTTGTGTTTCTTCCAACATTTGATTTAATTCTAGTTTCTTTATTTTATTTAATTAGTTTTGTTTTATTTTTTTTTCTTATTTAATTTATTTTTTGCATTATTATTTTATTATATTTTGTTTTCTTTTTCTTTATTTTATTAGTTTATCTTTTTAATTATTTTTTTTTATTTTTATTACATCATATGTTTTTATTTAGTTTTTTTTTTGGATTATTCTGTAATTTATTAAATGTTTTTAAGTTTTTTTATGTTGTTTGTTTAATTATTACTTTATTTTAATTTATTAAATTTTAATAAAATTGTCTAATTTTGGTTATTTATTTAAAATATTCAATTTAGTCGTTTTTATTTCTTTGCTTTTTTATATATTTTTTATTGTACAGTATTTTATAAGTTAATTTTATTAACTTGACATTTTTTTAATAATTTTTTTTTCATTTTTATTTACTTAATTTTTATGAATTTTCTGAATTTAATGCATTGTTGAAAGTTTTTAATTCTAGTTGTTTTTATTTCCTTGTTTTTTTTTCAATATATGTTCATATTAATATTATTTAATTATTTTATTATTTAATTATTTTATTTAAATTATATTTTTTTTGTATTTTTAACTTATTTATTTATTTTATTTCATATTTGTTTAATTTTTTTAATAAATTTTAGCTAGTTAGGGTACAAAATATTTAATTGAATTGTTTTTATTTCTTTTAGTTGTTTATTTCAATTTTTTTTATTTGTTTTTTTTTTTATAATTTATTTTAAATTTATTTCCATTATCTTACATTATTTATTTATTATTTTCTCTTATTAAAAAAAGAAATGCGATAAAAAAGGAAAGTCAAAGGCACTCCACCACCAGCTTGCCTTGACGTCAGATATCTGCAGACAACAAATTGCTATTGGCATCATCGCCAAGTATCTTTTCTTCAACTGCCTCCTTATCGTCTGGTAGCTCAAGGCCTTTCTTTTGCCGCTGCCTATTTGGTGTCGTCGCGCATTGGACGCTTGCTGTTAACATTTGCTGACCTCTGACACCTAACACGATGCCATATGCTGTTCGGAAAGTTACTTTGCTTCGCGCAGACGTTGCACAAAACATTTAACAAATTATTTGCATACTATCGGTGCGACGGCAGAGTGCAAGTCGCAACAATTGTCGCCTGGACGTCTAAAGCGTGTAGCCAAGGCACAAATGCAAACTCCACTCTGTAGCCACAACTTTTATCCACAACGTTGTCTATCCTGGCGCTGTCTAACAAGCATAGTGTTTCTTTATTTCCAATTTCTCAGAAGACAATTGGTTATTTTATGCTTTGTAGTTGTTGGTCAGGGTATTACCCCCTTAACTGCCTGCGTCTCGTGTTTAATGTCTAGCAAAATAGTCAAGTTAAGTCTATTTATAGATTTGCTTGCCAACTCGCAGACGACGTCTACTTGTCTATCGAAGTGCAGTCTGCGTATACATGTCCTTCACCTCCTCCTTTCCCTCTCTTACTTAGAATACTCTGCTTAGCTGTCATAATCACCTGTGGTTCTTACAAGACGTCAAACCCGTGATATTCCTCGCGCGCGATGTGACCAGTCAGTCTGGCACTTTGGTTGGCCACTCAATGCGTCGCAATGCAGTCTGAGGAGTGATTTGTATGTGAGTACATGTGGAGCTCACTTGAAACGTGAGTTGATTTTATTTATAAAGATCTAAATGGAATCGTTCTATTTTATATGGAGCTTTGTTGGCTTAGTTTGTTTCGGGCCTGTTCATCAATTCAAGACACTCAACATTTCAATTGGAAAATATGTAAATCAATCAAAAAATACGCAACATGAGGTGAGATAGTAATTCTCAAAACGAGAATAGTATTTAATCATAAAATAAAATATCATAAATTTTGTATAGTCATGAAATGTATAAAGAATTCGGCATGTCGGGATACAGCTCTCGTTTCATGTTTTTGTTTTATTTAATATTTAATTTTAACTTATTATAATTTAATTTGTTTTATATTATTATATTTCATTTTAATAAACCTAATTTAATTTAACATATTTAACTTTGCTTTATATTTTATTTTTTTTTTTTTATTTTTTTTTTATTTATATTTCACTCTAGCCTTATTTTATTATATTTTATTAAAATAGATTATATTTAAATATATTCAATTTTATTTTCTTTATTTTATTTTGTTCTCTTTTTTTTGTTTTATATTATTTTATTATTTTTTATTTAATTCGATTTATTTTATTTTTTTGGTTTAATTAATTTTATTTTTAATTTAAATCAAATTCTTTTGCCCTAATATATATATATATATATTTAAATTTAATTCTTCTTTCAATATAATTTTATTAACTATTTTTAATTCTCTTTTTTTTATTCTGTTTTACTTTTATTTTGTTTTATTTTATTTTATTTTATTTTATTTTATTTTATTTTATTTTATATTATTTTATTTTATTTTATTTTAATTTATTTTATTTCATTTCATTCAATTTTTTATCTTATTTCGTTTCACTTAAATTCATTTCTATTTTTATTTTTTATTTAATATTTTAATTAAAAATATATTATTTTTTTTTGTTTTATTTTTATATATTTCATTTAACTGATTTTACTTAATTTTTTTTTATATCATTTTATTTATTTTAATTCATTTTATTTTGCTTTAATTTTTTTTATTATTTTTTATTTTATTTTTTTTTTTTACTTTTGCGTTAAAATATATAACTTTTTTTAATATTTAAAATTTTTTTTTTATTTTTAAATAATTTTCTTCCTATTCTGTTTTACTTTTTTTATATATTGTATTATATGTAGTTTTATATTATTTTATATTTTCTTTTAATTATGTTATATTATTTTGTTTTGAGTTACTTTGTTTTCTTTTATATTTTATTATGGTTATTTTTTTGTATTTTTTTTAACTTTACTTTTTTTATTTTCTTTACTTTTATTTATTTTTAATTTTTTTGTATGCTTTATTTTGTGATTTAAGTTTATTTATAATTACTTCATTGCATTTTATATTATTTTTTTATTTCATTTTATTTTGTTTAATTTATTTTTATTTTAATTAATTTTTTTACTTATGTTTTTTTGTTTTTGCATTTTCCACCTCTATATTGGCGAATAGCTCTGAGTTGGTAGCGGCAACAGATGTATATACATAAGTAGTAATTAAAATACGGAAAGTCTTTCACACCAGTCAAGATAGTTGCTCACAGGACAACAACAATTGAATAATACTATTAACAACTAGAGCAAACTGAAAACAACAACATTGAAAACAACAAAGGCACGCGTTTATTGTTGGTGTTTGTAATAAGTAAAACTTTTTCAAGGATACATTTGTATATGTGCCAGCATGTGTCTATGCGTGGTGGTATATGCAATCATATATCATAAATATGTACATGTAGTATAAAAATATTCCATGGAAAATATTACCACAGTAGACTTATGTATGTTTTGCTTGCCGTATATATTTCTTCATACATACATACATATGTAGGCGTAACATATCTTCTGTTTCTTCTCCTGTTAACGGTCCTTTACTTCTTATCTTATACCCAACAATTCACTATCAAAATTTCTATACTCCCATTCGATGTGCAACATGTTGCATGAGGATGCTTTATACTGTTATGTATGTGTCTTTATGCGCATATATAAGCAAATCTACTTCAATGTTGCAAAAGTTAGATGCTTCTCAATTGACTTGTATGCATTTATACCATACATGCGCACATTGTGTTGCATTTTCTACTATTCATACACACATACATGCATGCGTACATACATATATTGTATATATGCAGGAAATATACGATTAAATGTAACGTAGAAATGAAAATCATTCATACACTTGGCGCCATTCACACAGATAGCAAGATGAAATATGCACACACAAACATATGCACACATACAAAAAAAAAAGGAATGAAAAAAACATATAGCAATGCAAGTTGCTTTTGCCGCGCATTAAACTTTTTAAAAACTTTTCCGGCTTTTCTTCCTTTCTCGCTCGCTTACTCTTTCTAAAACTGCACTCAACCACACCATCCCCCATGCAGCAACCCCTCTTACCCACCCACACCACTGACGCCTCATTCTCAACTGTTTAGCATAGCTATTCTTAAAACTTTTGTTGTTGTTATTGTTGATTTTGCAACAACGAGGTTGATGACATGGTTATGCTTTTGCGGTCTTTTGAATGCTGTTGCATTTGCCTCTTGCCCCACCTCCACCGGCAAATGGGATCATGATTTACACCGCGCGCTCTCTCCCTCTCTCTAGCTTACTTTCAGTTGTTATTGTTTTCTATTGTATATGTGGGTGTGTGTGTTTTGAGTTTGGTATAATATAAACTTGAACTTTGTTGGAATTTTAGCTTTATTCGCGTGAATTAAGCAAAATGCCGTCGTGCAAGAGAAGCTTAAAGAGCGAGAGTTGATAGTTTCAAATGTCAATTGAAAGTGAAGTTCTTTAATTTTTGCATGAAAAAATGTTTGTTGGAATAAAGTTTATTCGTCGTTGAAAATTTGGAAAGCAGCGGGAAAGAGAAATTTTGTGCGCTGAGTGATTTGGAGCTCTTTGGTTTTAGTTTTAAATATTTGCAGCCAAAAAAATATTTAATGTCAAAATCATTCATAGTTTCTATAACAAGCTATAAGTTGAAAGTGAAAGCTTTGTGCCTTAGAGCTTTTACGATTGATGTTCAGTGGTTTGCTACATCAAAAGTTAGTGAAAATTTAAATCTTTATTTGGATAAGAAGGAATTTCAAATTGAAGAAAAACTCAAAGCTTTCGGCTTCAAAGTTCAAAAAAAGTTCAAAGTTCGAAAAAAACCTACAAAATCTGCAAAATATGTTTGCGTTGCAAAATAGAGATATAAGATTAATAGCGTATGAGTACTCTGCTATATTTTTACAAATCTTGCCTTTATGAAAAATTAATCGATTACTTTTTTATATTTTCAGAATTTCCATTCAAAAACCCAAACCGAGTCAAAATTCCAAATTCATACTCAACGTCGTCTACGCGTTGAAAGCTCTGGAGAAAAATACACAAATACGAACTCACTCGAAACACGCATTCAGCGCGCGGTAAAACAAGAAAACAAAAATAACTTTGGCCTTTTCCCTTCTACATAACATATTCGAATCATAACGGCAAAAAAAGTGTTCAAACAACTATAGTGAGTAGAAATTACTTAAAAGCATTAACGGTAATTATAACGGCAAGTAATATAAACATTTCATGAAAACTCAAAGCGGATATACATTTTGGAAGCTTAAAAAACGACTATAAAAACCTAAACTTCTCGGCAATTACCAAAAAAAAAAAACAGGCATACGCAGTTACCGAAGTGAAAGCGCATTTTAAATGAAAATTTTCAATAGCGACATACGAAAAATTAAAAAGTTAAAGTTTTTGTTAAAATCAAGCAGATTTGCATTCTGATTATTTTAGTGAAAGCACAGCTCGCAATTGAAAGTTCATAAATGTTAAACTTTTTTGACGAAAGCTCCTGGATAGAGTTTTTTTAAATAAAATTTAATAAATTCAAGTCGAAATTCAAAAGCTCTCTGAATTTCACATATTTCCGCAACCCAACTCTAAAAGCTCGTACAGCCAACTCTGCCTTTCTGTGTTTTAAATTTTCTCCTGTGTGTCAGTGTTTATCTTCCTTCATTAAAGAAATTAAATCATAAAACAAAACAATTATTATTTCAAAAGAAAAAAGTGAAATTAGTAAGTGTGTTCGCAAATTCCGCAAAAAGAGGCAAAAGCATTTTGTGTAATATATAACAAATTCTAAAGAAAATTTGAAATAACAACAACAAAAACTGCAAAAGTAACGATTACATACATATATAAAAAAAAATCTGCAACCAAGCACAACAACAGCAACAACACCAAAACGGCAAGACGGCCAAACAAAATATTTATCTTATGGATTGCTGGACGGGTAACGCCCGACTGGCGAGTGTTTTAGTTTAAGGTGAGTGAAATTAAACGCTTTTCTATAAAAAATAAAAGACATGGACTAAGTAAAAAATAAACGAATCAAACAAACCGAAATATAATAAAATAAAACAAAGTAAAATAAAGTAAAATAAAAAAGTTAAATAAAATAAAATAAAATAAAATAAAATAAAATAAAATAAAATAAAATAAAATAAAATAAAATAAAATAAAATAAAATAAAATAAAATAAAATAATTTAAAATAAAATAAAATAAAATCATATCAAATCAAATCAAATCAAATGAAATAAATATATAATAATATATAATATAATAATATAATAAAATAAAATATTATATAATATAATAAAATATCATAAATAAAAAAAAAGTTATGGTAAAATAAAATGAATCCAAATAAAATAAAATTAGCAAGATAAAATTAATCAATTAAATTAAAAATTCGAGTTAAGTTATAAGGAAACAACTTTTTTTTTGTAAAAACTGCCTTAACTTATTTTCGTTCTTTTTAATTTTTATATAAAATATACTTCCGCCCACGAAGAGCAGCTGTACCTTGTGCGTATTTCGTTTGATGTTTTGCAAAAAAGAAATATTGACATTGAAAAATATTTTCAGAAATATGAAATGAAATTTCACAAGTTGAAAATTTGAAATTAGAAATATTCAAAACCTTGCTAAAATGCCTAATTTTATCTCAAAGTAGATATCTGCAATCTGCACATACAATAAATAACTTCCTCCTTCACTACACTCACTTCTACATTCTCTCTATGTGTGAATATTGCCTTTCTGCTGTCAATCACATCATTGATTGTCTCTCTGGCTGTGTGTCTAGTTTAACGATATGCGGCTGCTTTGCCTTACCGCATCTATGCAACTATGCATGTACACACATATATATACATAGATGTTCATATGCATGTATATTTAATTGTTGTTCTTTTTGCTTTTCTAGCATTTGTCGGCGTTGTCTTTTAATTTAAAAGATGCCAATTCGCAGATACTATAATACATAATGATTGCGTTGGCTAATTTTGCAAACTGCAATTATATCTACACATGCACACACACACACACACATACGCTCGAACACCCTTAAAAAGTGAAGGCGAATAATTAATAGAAAATAATGCTTGCGTGCAGTGTTCGACGATGAAGTACCCTGTAGGAACATTTTGTGGAAGTAAAGCAGTTTTTTTTAGCTATTTAAATAATTAAATAAGTTATAAGAGCGATGTATAAGGCAGGTATTTCCAGTGGATCGATGAATAGTTTTGAAATTTATTAAAATACTTTCATTCTTAAAAACCTTTTTCCTACTGGTTAGTCAATCTATTATATCTACTGTGTACCAATTCACTTTAATATATCCACACGCTTCTACATATATGTATGTGCAACTATAATTTATGCCAGCTCGTTTGGTTCGTGTTAATTAAAATTGATTTCTTAAAACATAAAGAATGCAAGTGATGGCGTAAACATACATATATATCTGAGAAAATATTTTAAATATTTTGCTATGAATGTCAGTGAGCAGTAACTTGAGACTAATAAGCTAATAAGCTAATAATACCAATAGAAATAGTAATATTTCCTCTAAGAAAATATTTTTTTTTTTACAAAATTTTAAGCTCTACTTCCTCGCTCTCATGGCCAGTTGTGTGAATTAAGCGGTGTTGCCAGTTTTCTCTGTAAATAGCTTCATATTTAGTGTTACTTCCTACACTGTATCTAATTTTCTTACAAGAACAAAAATTATTTTAAAATTTTGTATGCCATTTTTTTGTGCTAATTGACTTTCGTGCTTATTTGTGCTGTGTTGCCAATTTTTCATATGATCCGTGATCTTAGTATTTTCTGATTATTGCTTAAAGATTACTTTTGTGTCGTAGAAATCGCACTGTCATTCGATGAACTTCATTTTAGCGATGTTATTCCATGAATTTAGGCTTAGCGACGTTGCCAATTTTCTCTGTAAAAAGTTTCATATTTCGCGTCGCATTTGACAACAGAGTCCGAAATTTGGGAAAGTTCTAAATATCCGACCAAACTTTGTCAGTTTTTATGAACCAAAATCGCTCTTATTGCACTTATTGCCCATTTCCCAGATGTTCAATACACTGTTGCCAATTTTTATTGTAAAACATTCTTATATATAGGAATTTGTTCTCTCTACTTTCTACATATAAATTCAAATGCCGTGTTATGAAATTATAGAGAGAGAGCGGGACTCGAATGGTGTCATCAATAAAGCGGTGCTTGCAATTTTTTCTACATAAGAATCGAGCCAAGTCAACAACATTCTCGCTCCTTCATCATTGTTATGACTTAAGCTGTGCTGACACTGTTGCCAATTTTCTTAACTAAACATGTTCTACTGATACCCACGTTGCCAATTTTCAAATTATGATTTCTTCTCTGTAACAAAAATATTTAAAGAAAATTATTTTTCTCGGGTGGATGCTCATCTTTATTCGATCTGGAAAAGTTTGCTTAAAATGGTAGGAATCATTTGAGGAAACACCAAAGCCTTTAAGTTTCAACGAATGATGTGATCGACAGCTTGAAGCGTACTTTTTACAGTTTTTCAACACGTCAGCTAAAAGGCAACGCTGCGCAGAACAGCGTGACTAACGCGGCAAAAAGAATTCGCAAATGTTGAGTACACGCGTACGCATACAAACGCAAATGGAGGAAATGGGGGAAAAAATGTGTGTAAATATATGCAAGCTGAGCATGATCGTCATACAAACAGATATATGCATATTAAAATGAATAGAATTAGAAAAAATGAAATAAAAAAATCTCAATTCACACAGCATGCAGTAGCAGCAGCAGCAACATATGCGGGCGAGCCAAGCAAAGTAAAAATACAACAACACGAATACCTACTTATGCATGTACATATGTACATATAATGACAGGGAAAAAATTTGCAAACAGAAATTTCATAAAAGCTCCTCGAATGTAGGCAGAGAATCGTCTCAGTTAACAGCGACGCAGTGGAGCGGTGCAGCGGCGAGCGAAGAAAAAAAAACGATCAGAAAATTATAAACGAAAAACGAAAAAATACGAATTCACAACGAAAACGAGCAACAAGAGCCTATGCAACAACAGCTACTAGAACAATAACAACAACAAAAACGGCCGCGCGGAAAAAGCGAAAAAAAATCTGTTCGATTCAAGGCCAAGGCCAATGCGAACGCGAACGCAACACGAACGCATAACTATACACATATGTATGTACCTGCATACGTATTCGTACAACAAACAGCGACGACGCAGATCGCAAATTTCAGATCAGAATCGAACACATACACACATACTACAGATGTGCTTGTGTATTGTTGTATGTACATATGTACACAGCGTGCATGCATTGCAGTGACACAGCGGCATATATTCGTCCGTATGTACTTGTGTGTGTGTGTGTGTGTGTGCATATGCATAAGTACAAAAGCAAAAACAAAAGAGAAAAAATTAAAAAGCTCCCAAGCGATCCGCAAAAAAAAGATGAAAAACAACCACAACAACAATACGAAAATTCAGAATGAATTGAATAGCAGATGCGGATGTGAAACAAAGCGACAGCTCCAACAATATCGAGCGCACAAAGTGCACAGTAGACGCTCCCGTGCGTTGCGTTGCGTTGCTTTGCTGGCAGTTGGTTGGTTTGTTGGTTGGTTGTTGGGGCCGCACGCGGGGCTGGTTATTTTCATGCGTTTTGTTTTTGTATTTTGTATATGTTGTTTCGAGATTTGTTGTTATTGTTAAGGTTTTCATACATTTTGTTGTTGTTTTTGTTGTTGTTGTTGTTGTTGTTGTTGTTGTATAAATGGGTTGTTGTTGTTGTTCTTAGCTGTACATCACACAAACAACAAACATCAAACTAGCCCAAGAGCAGCTATGGCGGTAGTGACAGCAACAAAAACAACAACAGAAACAAAAAAAAAATTATCAAACACACAAAAACAACCACAACAGCAGTAACAACAAACAGCAAACAGCAGTTATGCGCTGCATTAAAATTGCACAGCCGCATGACAACAACATGCCCGGGTATAACAACAATAATATGTCAACGCTTGCCAACTTGTCGTGTTTCTGCATACACACATGCAAACATATATATGTATATGTATATATATATGTATATACATATATGTATGTGGATATGTTTAATATTGGTTATTAATTTTTCATTATTCTTGATATTGTTGTTGTTGTTTTGCTGCGCACGTTACATTATGCGTTGTTGATCGCTGATTTGTTGTTATTATTGTTACTGCTGCGGTTGTTGTTGCTGTGGATTCTGCTTCTGCTGCTGCAACTAAACGTCGATCGTGAGATTTACTAAGATTGCTTGGAAAAAGTGAATGTTGTGCAACAACAAGAAGGAATACTAGAATATCTTTTTATAAAAAAAAAACAAACAGAAATAAGCAATCGTGACCGTTGTTTTTTATTTGCCGAGCTTAGGAGGCATGCTAAGGGCAGCTCAGTGGGTGTGTCGGGAAGCGTTTTTAGATGAAGATTTGTTTTGGCGAAAAAAACTTATTGATTTCAATAGTGCGATCTTTTCTCGTTGCGTGACCGAATTACGTAAAATTCCGTTTCAGATTTTGTAGTTTTGAAGATTTTTGAAATTCAATTTCTTGTTAAATTATAAGTAAGTATTCAAATTTATTAAAATCATTTAACTCACTTGTTTTGCGTGTAAGTTCATAACTGAAGCTAGAAGATTTATTAAAAAGGATTAAATGCAAATCATTTTTTTTTCAAAATGTTTCAAATTTGAAAATAGTACCTTTTGAAATTAAAATATATCTTACACTTAATGGGCACACCTAGTGTAATGGCCTAAAAAAGGTGATTTTTGGGAATTTTTATTAAAAAAAAAGCTTTATCAATTATTTCAAAGCTTTAGGAATATATTTATGCATGTTTCAAGAATATACAGTGACATTTTTGAAGAAAAAAATTAAATATTTTTTTTAGTTATAGTCGA